ACATTTTAACTAAAATAATTTTAAATATTCTTGATGTAATAAAATAAGCGTTATATACACTACCCAACAATTGAAGTGGATAATTTTAAAATTCCTAAAACTAACATACAACAACCATTTTTAAAATAATTGCCGGTACTATACTCTATATACTATCTTTAGTGCCATTATGTTTTGCATGTGGTTTTTTTCTCCTTATTCTAATCGACACTTATCTCACACAAAGAGAGAAATGTGATTCCAAACATGAATATATCGTTCGTACAAAAGTGCTTGTATTGGTTTTACCAGTTGTCAATAAGTCAAGAAATATATTTATCATAAAAACATTATGCCGCAAAGACGTTTAGAACTAGTGCAGCTCGAGCAATTAGTTCGTTGGACCAACAAGGCATAACTCAACAAGAGGTTGCTGTGAGGCTAAATGTGTCGCAAAGTGTGATAAGTCGTGCATGGAATCGGTACAGGGCCACTTATTCCGAAGTGCAAATTCGCGTTAACCTTGCGCAGCGACGTCACTCACAGCTTTAACAGTATTACTCGCAGTATTAACATTGCTCTTAATTGTATACATAAGCACTCGTAATTTAGTCATCCTAAATATGGATATTTTGCATATTATTTTACTGTCTTCATACATTTTAAATAAAAACGAATGTTTATAATGTTTTCTTAGTCAAATATATTTAATTTTTATGCGAATTAGAACAAATAAGGTATTAGTATAAAAATATAGCTACTTATTTAGGTACCTACATACTTCCACTTTTTATAAACTTTTAAGAAGGAACAAAATTTTGATATTATACATAATTGGTAAATATATAGTTAAGTTTAAATACTTAAAACAACCGTCACTTACACAAGTCAGATGCGAATTTTGAAAATAAATATTACGATCGCGTTAATATTCTTGCTAAATAACTATATATAAAGCAGTTTTAAAACAATTTGCGTTTAAAAATATAATACTATATACATTATGCAATAGTTTTTTCTATTTTTCTTTTATTAGTACGTGCTAAAATAATTTTTTTATTAAAATCTTTTATACGGAAGTACATACGCGATCGAAAAAATATTTTCTTAGCATCTTGAGGACAATCAATTGCAGATAACAGACTTGAAACATATTGTTTGCCAGTAAATATGGTATCTTCATTAAAGTTTTGAAAAATTTGCTCCAGTTTTTCCAAATGAGCCATAAATTCATTAGAAGGTTTACATAGTCCACCTTCTGTCAAATAGAGGACTATGTCATCTCCATCCGTGGGATTGGTGTCAATGATTGTTTTTTTTAAACCAAGCTTTTCTACCATACTACCGCTCATAGTTAATGTAGGAGTACCATCGTCTTCTACATTACAGTAATCTGAAAAAGCACCTTCATTTTTTCCCATTAAATAAGAACGCAGTCGGTATTTAAAATCTAAAGAAGTTGGATGATCGTTCAAACCACCTTTTGCTCTTATGACTCCAAAAAAATTCTCCAAGGGATCTTGGTTTAAGCGTCTCGTCAAAAGGTAGTTCATATTATAGCGTTTGCCTACATCTTCAAGCAGCAACTGCAGAGCCTTATTTGATATAAGAATACCTACAATGTTTTGTAAAATGTTATAAATGTGTTTTTACTTTGATATACTGTGTTACCTTTTTGGAATGGAAGCAATGATTTCTTGCCTTTAACGCGCATTGTTGAAATCATGTCAGACATTCTATTTAAAATATCATTTTGGGTTTCTAACTCCAAACCATATGCCCGGTTTCTGGTTCGAGTGTCGCTCACAGGAACGCTAACATTAAATACGTCAAACCAATCGTTCACCTATAACAAGTTAAAACAAATTAGTAATTAATGTTTACCTTACAAATTGTAACTCTTACTAGTTTAAAAAGATCTGCCAATTGTGTCCAATGTGTGTCTTGATTAATGAGACCAAGCATGCCGCACCTACTAATAGCCTTCGATACCGTATGGGAGAATAATTTAGCGGCATATTTTACTCTCTGTCTTTGAGCTCCTCTCACATTAAGCTTTCTTTATCCGTTTGTGGGTAATTTTTAAATCAGAACCTGTTGTTGCATCGAGAACAGATTCAACACAGTCCTTAGTCAGTTCTAGTCCATTAAAAATAAAACCTTCATCCACAAAATGATTTCTGATAAGCTTTAATATGTGTGACATACCTATTGTATCACACCTATTGTATCATTGTATTGTGCACACCGTGTAGATTTTGATTCATTTATTATTGTATTATTAGCTTTTATTACATCATGTACTTTGTAAAGGACCTCTTAGGTATCATTTAAGAATAAATTTTTGAATGTTTTCACACGTTTTTGTGAGTACACAAAAATGCTCAATGCAAATTACAGGTATCGCAAGAAAAATTGTATTGTCTCTTACATATTTCTTCTCAAATTTAAGAAAAAGTAAAAATTTCTATCTGAATATAAAATTTGGTAGAGGTACATCGGTAGAAAAGCGGCGAAATCAGTAGGTTTGGGAACACTGCTGCTACCTGCTACGCTGCAACTGACGTCACTCCCTGGGCGAAGATCGAGCGACCGTGCGCAATATGTTACCTCTGTAGTTTATTATACCATGGAATCGGTATATAGCCACTAGATCTGCAACATACAGGCATGGAAGAGGAGGAGAACGATCTACAACTCGTCGGAAAGACCGTTTTGTAGTTCTGATGACAAAAAGAAACGCAACATTCACGGCTTCCAGAATTAACAGTATTTTCAGACATGCTATTGGACGAGCGATTTCCAGTCAAACCGTCAGAAGACGGTGTGCATCCAATTTAACCCATTATCTCCCACTTTACTCATTTGGGGACAGCAAACAAAATTTCACTGCAGCGCCTTCTATTGCGAAATAGCAAGAATTCACTACGACACAATGTTATTTTACATTGTTTTCTTCTTAACTTCTAGCGCTGATGTTTCTTAATTTGATCAACTCAACAGCAGGTACAACTTTGTAAGCAATGTCACGCCTTTGTCTGGAAGAGCGGTTTATGCTTTTACTAAAAAACACGTAAAATTAAAATTTCATTTGTAAGCAGTGCTTATTATACCGAAACGTATAGTTGTGAGTGTAAGCTATTGTGTTTTCAACAAATTTTATCATCATCATCAATTTCATACACAAGTTAGGTAAGTTGTGTATTCTCGTTTGGGGACACTGGGCGGAAGCCGTCTATGTAAAATACATGTTATTATTTTTACAATAAAATTTTTTTTCCGCAAATCGCCAGGAAATTTTGACATTCCTGTCAAAATTTCTTGGAAGAAAAAGTCAGGACTTCCTTACTGTAAGGAAATGTCATTTCCTTACTGTAAGGAAATGATATTTCCGTACAGTTGTTAGTGTTCTACATAAATGATAGAAAACACATTGCTTATAAGGAATTAATTTATATTTTGAAAACATCAAGTCATTGCTGAATACATTTTTAAGATCAATTTGTTATATTTACAGTAATTTGACAGTTAGTACAATTATTGAACATTGGAGGAACACTCTTAGAACTATGAGAAACATTTTGGACAACATGCAGGGTGGAAGTGTCATTTTGTTGAATATTTTGTACTGTGAAAATTTTATTTGCCACCTCAACCTTATTGTTAAGCGATTCTTCGATATATCCTTCAGCAACGTTCGATGACTTCCATCCGCCATGCCTCTTTAAACTAGTTATGTCGGCACCAGAGTCAACCAATATTGTTGCAGAAGACCGACGAAAGCAGTGACCAGTATATTCTGTCGGATCTACCAAGTTCAAATAAGTAGCAATTATTTTGGGCATTTTTTCTAAATTGATGAATTCCTACCACTTGTCTACAACCCTTTCCGCTTTGATATTTAAAGAAAAATCGGTCACTGTTCATATTTTCTGGTCTTAACGAAACATACTTTCGATAAACATTCAAGTAGATCTGATTAATTACAAACGATCTTGGTTTGTTGGTTTTCGAATCAGGTATGCTGATTAAAAGCTTAGATTCTAAGTCTTCTATATCGTGTACAGTCATTCGGACTAACTCATCCATTCTACAGGCCCCAGAAATACCAAATATTACAGCCACCTAAAAAATAAATAAAGCTATAATCTAAATAGAAATTAAAACCTTGTAAATTACCTTAATCATTAAATTTTCTTTATCTGGAGCTTCCTGGATAAATTTTTTAATTTCTTCCTTCGTTAAAATCTTAGATTTCTTTGCCTTATAGCCTTGAGCTTGCCGTTTCAATAAATAACGAAGTTATGAGTATGTAGATATATCTACATTGTGTTTAAGTGCAAGGGTTGACTTCAGCATTGAATAATTGGCCCATAATGTTGAAGATTTCATCTTTAAACAAAGGTCTAGGAAGTATGTCATTACAACATTTTCTGAGAAAGAACTCGTATTTTTACTCATGCGATAATCCATAAAACGTCTGTATGCATTTTCGTACTTTTCTCTTGATTTCTTTGGCAATAATTCTAATGAAGCAGTATTTACTGCCTCAACCAGCTCTGGAGGAGTCCCAGGAATGGAAATTTCATCATCACTTATCATTTTACTTTCGAGAACACCAGCAATTAAATTTATAAGCGTCAAGTTTGACAATTCAACCTCAATACGTTTCCATAGTAACCCAAGTAATTTTATTAGGAATTTCAAAGCACCATTTATTTGGGAATAAAATTATTGCGTTTTTTTTAAATCAATCAATATCTGTCGAATTTTAAACGATTTGCGGAAAAATAGTATGTTTACCTTGTAGGAAAAGCCACATTCCTGGACTCTGTGTTGCTAAGTGTCGGCTTGCGCCTCGACTTAGCAATCTTCACAGTCGTCCAGGAATGTTAAGCTTTTCCTACCCGGTAAACAATGTACTATTATTTCAGTTTGTTATGGAAGAAAAACATTTAGCACCAATATCTCCGAAAAGTTTTTATGGAAGGAAGTATCGTCATTTAAATGCTGCTTTACAGGATGTTGCTACAGCAAATATTGAACATGAAGTAGACGTTGTTAGTATACCGCCTGATGCTGACCCACAGACCGATGAAGAGGACTTTGACGAAAATAATTTAGAAGGTGTCGAAAATATATTTCCTACTGACGTAGTTGGTGAAATCGAGTTGCAGCATATAAACAGCAGTGATAAGAAGAAAGTAAGGACTTATAAAGCGAAAAGCCGTCATGACGGTATTTGTAGTTCTGTGCTCGTCAACTTTCGTCAAATAGAGAAACTGAATAAAAATACTGATAACATAGACCAAAAATGGGAGAATATTAAACATGCCGTAATGTTGGCAGGGAGAGAAAATTTGACACCGAAAGAAAGGAAACATAAAGAATGGATAAATGAGAAAATACTACAGTTGATGCGTTAAAGACGGGTGCACAAAACAAATAATCCGATAAGATACAAAGAAACAGATAAACTGATAAAAAAGAAAATAAGAAAGCTAGAGAAAGATGGCTAAGTGAGCAATGCCAGGAGTTGGAACAATTGGAGCGAAAATATGACTTTTTTAATGTACACAAAAAGATTAAAGAAATGACACGAAGGAGAAGAACAACACAGACAGGACAGATCAAAGATACAGATGGTATAATTATAACAGATTTACAACAAAAAATGAACCGATGGACAGAATACATATCACAACTGTTTGATGACAAAGATAGACAAGAAATATCAAACGAATATACAGATGATACAGGGCCTGATATAATCAGAGAAGAAATAGAATATGCAATCAAACAAGCAAAAAGTGTTAAGGCCCCCGGTCCTGATGAAATTCCCGTAGAACTGCTCAAACTTATGGACGATGAATCTATTAAAATACTCCTAGATCTATTTAACACAATATATAGAACTGGAATAATACCTAGGGAATGGCTCCGTTCGACCTTTATACTACTGCCAAAAAAGGCAAATACAAAGGAATGCAACGAATATCGTACGATAGCTTTGATGAGTCATGCTCTAAAACTGTACTTAAAAATAATCCATAATAGGATCTATAGGAAATTAGACGTAGACATCAGTAACACTCAGATGGGATTCAGAAAAGGGCTGGGTACAAGGGAGGCTCTGTTTGCAATGAACGTTCTCTCACAGAGATGCTTAGACATGAACCAAGAAATTTACGCCTGCTTTATTGATTTCGAAAAGGCCTTTGACAAAGTACAACATGAACCACTAAGACAAGTTCTAATAAAGAAAAATATAGACAGCCGAGATATTCATATTATATGCAATCTATATTGGAATCAAACAGCAAATGTCAAGGTTGAGGGCAGACTAACAGAAGAAATTCAAATCCGCTGAGGAGTCCGGCAGGGATGTATCTTATCGCCACTTTTATTTAATCTGTATAGTGAAGCTATCTGTGAACAAGCACTCGAGGAAGAAGATCTTGGTCTGATAATAAATGGTAAGACGATCAACAATATAAGGTATGCTGACGATACAGTTCTCCTAACAGGAACGCTAGTAGAACTACAACATCTCGTTCAAAGTCTCAATATATACTGTAACAGTTACGGCTTAAAAATTAATTTGAAAAAAACTAAATTTATGGTAATCACGAAATCAAAGAACATCAGAGCTAATCTTGTAATAGACAATACAACGATTGAGCGTGTGCCCTGTTATAAATATCTAGGTGCTTGGATCACAGACGATACTGATCAAACAAAAGAGAGTGGATGTAGAATAGAAATCGCTAGGTCAGTCTTTAATGGAATGCGCAAACTCTTTTGCAATCGTGATATCAATATAAAGTTACGAATACGAATGCTGCGGTGTTATGTCTTTTCTACCCTGTTATATGGAGTTGAGGCTTGGACACTAAAACAGTTGACCATAAAAAACATCAAAGCTTTCGAGATGTGGTTCTATAGGCGTATTCTCAGAATATCATGGATGGACCGCGTCACTAACACGCAAGTACTCCAAACTTTAGAGAAAAGATGCAAAATTCTAAATGAGATAAAAACTAGAAAGATGGAATACTTGGGGCACATTGTGAGAGGTGAAAAGTACGAACTTTTAAGAAACATCATGCAGGGCAAAAGAAGTGTGGGTAGAAGAAAAATATCGTAGCTTCGTAATCTACGTGAATGGTTCGGGTGTAGTTCGATTGAACTTTTTAGGCGCGCTGCTAACAAAGTCGCAGTGGCCATGATGATTTCCAATCTCCGCTAGGAGTGGCACGAGAAGAAGAAGAAGCTCGTCAACGTATTCTGTGCTCGTCAAAAATACCCAAAACGCGATGTGAGAAATAAAAAAACCTATATATGTATGTGCTTTTATCTGGTAATCTATTTGCATTTTTACTTTCATTAAGTATATCTCCTGGTATTCTGGGTTTTGTTTGCCAATCTTTTGATATACTTGTATAGTCGTCACTGTCTGTCATTGTTCTGAAAATGTTTTACCTGGTTCATATAATTAAATTCGGATTTTACTTGCAAAGTTAAAGCCTTAATCGTTACCAAAAATATAATTTTGATAACACTAATTATTTTTTAGTTAACGAAATACGTTTTAAAGTGTATATAAGTTCCTTACTTGCCTAAAACTAGAGTTGAGTCGCTATAAATATCTTTCAAAAGTTTTCTACTTTCTTTGTCCCTTGTTGCAAAGCTGCTTTGCACGAGTTTAAAATTCTCCTGCAAAAAATACTTACTTCGGTTAGAAGAACATTAATACAAAAAGTTTAAGACGTCCTTAGAAAAGTTTTTCAATCAATTCGCTTTTCTTTAATTCGTGAACTTTACTTTAAAATATTTTTCAGTCATTTGTAACGTTTTTGGTAGCGTAAAAACTACTTTGTCTCTTAAACCATATAGTGCTTAAAAGAGGTATAGTACAATAAGAAGAATTGGGGAATATACTAAAAACTAAAAAGGCAAGAAATGGTATATGTAGATGTGTAGTTGTCTGTGGGTGGAAGGGGAAAAACATGTTAATTGATCGACCAAGAATATTTTTGCCAAAATATGTTAAAACAATATTTAAATAGATTTAATCTTTGACTAATTTATTATAAATTCTTAAGAAAAAGTTTGACTAAGATTTTCTAAAAATATTATGATTAAAAAATCTCCAACAGATTCATTATTGCATTTATATAAATGCGTTGTCATGATGTGGCAAGGGATTTTTGTGTAATGAGAGAAATTATTAAGATTATTATAAAATGTATTAGAAAGATTATTGATTACTAAACAATATCTAATATTATCTATCTCTTGAGTAATCGGGTCCCTGCAAATTACGTGAACAGTGGGGTGATGTCTGCGTGACCCAGTTTTTTTACGCATAACAGGCCGTTAATGCCTATGGCATTTTTTTAAAACATAATCCTAATATTAACTAATTACGATTATTTTAGACAAAACTTTAACTTAAATATGTATATACAACATTCTTATCTACTCTGAAGGACCTGGTGGACAATATTTCTCCATTCGCTTCTATTTTGTGCTTTTCTTTTCCAGTCCTCACCTTCACGTGTTTAAGGTCTTCCTCCACTTTAGTAATTCACCTCGTTCTGGGTCTAACTCTTCTTTTGGAGCCGATTAGTTTTCTGATTATTACTAGTTTAGGCATACTGTTTGCTGCCATTCTTTCCACATCTGATTTTATTTACTTGACGAACTTGGTAATGGAAGGTTCTTTGTATAAAGCCATTAGTTCATTGTTGATTCTTCTCTCCCAACCATCTTCTGTCTTCCGTCCTCCGAATATCCGTCTCAATATTTTCCTTTCCCATCTTTCTAGAGTATCCTCTTCTTCTTATTTAATGTCACTATCTCACCGGCATTATGTTACTGTGGGTCGAATTACTGTTTTATATATTCTGAGTTTACCTTGTCTAAAAACGTATTTTGAGTTCAGCAGGGCTCTTAGACTACCTAATTAAGACTACTACCGAATAAGTTTTATGTTCTAATGATACTAAACTTAGAATTCAGGAATAAATGCTGGAAAATGATATATATTATACAGATAATTATTTTAAAAAACAATGCAAGTACTTTTTAAATTGTATTTATAAATGATAAGCTTTCTATGTATACGTAATTTATGGAAATAATTTTAAATTCAGTTGATAACGGTATGAAACCAGCTTCTTTTTACCTCTGTTCTTTTTTCTATTTAGAAATGATGAAGTTTTGTAAATATGTGAATGTAATGTATGTAAATATTTTTGCAACTATTATATCTTTATTATACAACGATAAATACAAGCTTTTAAACACACCTAATAATAGAATAAGTAATGCAAATCGAAAATAAAAGTACGATCCTGTCCAGAGGCGTTCCCCCCGCTGCCTTTCAGCAGACACTTCTTCTTCTTCTTCTTCGTCTAGCCATTCACGTCCACATCTGAACATAAGCCTCTTCAAGTCTTCCTTTCCATTGTTTTTTATTGTACGCTACTTGTAGCCAATTTTCCCGGCAGTCCTTTTCAGATCATCTGTCCATCTCATAGGAGGTCTGCCTCTGGGTCTTTTGTGTTGGTATGGTCTCCAGGTTAAAATTGATCTGTGCCATTTGTTTAGATCGCTCCTAGCTACATGTCCAGCGTATTCCCATTTCAGCTTTAATGCTTTTTGCACCACATCGGTGACTTTGGTTTTCTGTCTTATCCATGTGTTTGTTTTCTTGTCCTTAAGTGATATACCTAGCATGGCTCTTTCCATCGCGTGTTGAGTGACTCTAAGTATATTCATATTCTTTTTTGTGATTGTCCATGTTTGTTGCCGCATAAGTTAATATCGGAATAATGCATGCATCAAAAACTTTAGATCTAAGATGTAATTGAATTTGTTGATTTCTGAATATATAGTTCAGTTTACCGAATGCTGCCCAAGCTAACTTTCTTCTTCTTTTTATTTCTTTAGTCCTGAATTTCCCTATTTAGATTATTTTTTGTCCCAAGTATATATATTCTTATATATATGCTTATAGCAGACACTTACCGATAATAAATATTAGTGACTCTCTTAGATCTCTGGTAGGACTATACCGCTTTTGATCTCATTTGTATCCATCATTAGTTATTCTGCAATTCCTGCGTTGTTCTCCCCTTATACTTTTAAATTTAATATTACTCAAATTACCTTTTTGTTACATACACGTTTTGAAACA